ATTTTGAAACATTCAAAATATTTATTTATGCCAAACACTTGATATAAATATTAAATATTTTGTTCTCGCTCTATAAAATAGTCCAAGCCTTACCAATCTGGACAACAGTTGCTCACGAAATCTTGATATGCATGAGCTGGACTACAATCCGTCGAAGAAGGATCTTACAGATGCAAAAATACACCATCTGCTTGCCGAAGAGCTGAAACCATATAGAAGGGTTTGTAATATACCATTAAATTTCATAATTTATATATTTTCCTTTCTAAGGTTTTGTAGTATAGCTTATATCTGAAGTTAGTACAAACTACACCGATTTACCAGAAAATATATACGTGTACACTTACAAATATATTATTCAATATTGAATTATTTATTATGCATTATTGCTTCACATACATACATTTTCTGCACAACACTCTCTTACTCTTCATATACAGCTTTTATTATTATTATTTTTGTATATTATTTTTATTTACATACTATGCATAACTGTATATGTATTATACAAATTTAAAAATAGCAAATGTATTAATAATGCTCTAATTGATGCGTCGAAATTGAAATGTTTTCTTTTCTCTTTTTATGTTTCAACGAATCGCTACTCGCGTATTAAAATATATATATATTTATATGTTTACGAATTATTCTGAAAATAATCGGGAACACTAAAATGCTGAAAATCTATCAATCTTCAATTCAATTCAATTATCAAAATTGAAAAAAAAAAAAACTTACAAACAGGCATCGATGCAAATGGTATGGCTAAAATTGGTCATTTTACTATTTACAAACATTTTGCATCCATTTACTATTGCTACTTTCTTGTTGGTTGTTAATTGTTGTCAGAATTTTTTTTACATTATTCAAGCTCCTATAAAAATTTTCAATAAACAAATAAATTGTCTATAATATAATTTATAAAACAAAAACATGCTAAACAAAGTTTAAAGTAATAAGTAATTTAATGTCTTTGGCTAACTAAAAAAAAATAATTAAATAATATCTTATTAATTATCAGCTCATTTATGAAATTGTGTTTATGTGTAAGTTTTTCAAAACTTTTAATTATCTTTGTACCATATTTATTATATATTTATAATAAGTGTCCTATGTAATAACCATTTCTTGCATACACAAACAAATTGCAAACAGTGAAAATAGGATTTTTTCTTTTTCAGTTAAAAAATTTTTCTTTGGTCTTTTTTTTTTTTTTTTTTTTTTTTTTTTTTTTTTTTTTTTTTTTTTTTTTTTTTTTTTTTTTTTTTTTTTTTTTTTTTTTTTTTTGGTGCTACCTTTTTGACTGAACCAATGTTTGTTCATATTCCTCAAAAAACATAAGTAGATCTGAAATGTTGTTACAACGTTTCGTATTAAATAGTTGAATCTCTTTATAACATAACGTTCAAACAGTGGTTCAGTCGTTTGGGTATTATCATAGCATCGAAGAAATTAGCACCAGTATTAGTGTCACAGTCCAAAAATATGTTCTTCACTTGTGTTATTCTTTGTATTTGGCGTCTTTTTGCTAAATTTGCACCTACACCGGTAGTTCACATGTAAATCAAAGCTTTCAAATGCACTACTTTATTTCACATAAATTATTTCTTAATATTCAAGCAATATTTGCCATTTGTCAGTTGCTGTCAATTATTAGTTTAATTTAATTGTTGCTATAAAAGTACAGGAAAATATATATAGCACATAGAATAGTTTTAAATGTCAATGATAATATTTTTTAGGGTTGTATCTACTCGCAAATCAGAAAAACCGCGTTTTTTTTTCTTTTGAATATTTTTTTGAGAAACAATCTATTTAATTAAAAAAAGAATGTGGCTTTAATAATTTTATTTACTTTAATAAAATTACATAGACCAAAACAAATTTTTTTGATGAAAGTCCAAAATCCAAAAAAAAATAATATATATTTTTTTTATATGAATGCGGGTAATGAAGTTTTTATATTAGACAAAAGGTTCCGTTCAGTATCTGAACGAAGAAAAAAAACTGAAAATTGGATTTTTGGCAGACATTTTTACAAAAAAAATGAAAGTTTCCAAGTCTTTAAGAATTCTATCTCAAAGATCTGTGTAAAATTTTATGAAGATCGGTTGAGTAGCCTAACTAGGTTCGAGCGCACAAGTTCTCAAGGTTGTATCTCCGAACCTATTACTCGGATCAACTTGAAAATTTAGAACAATATTTTTTAAATACTTTATGAAACCCGTAAACCTATGTTATTCCGTGTAATCTCTTAATATTTGTCAAAATCTTATTTATTCGTTTATTCCCTGCAACATATATCTAAGAATGTCGCGAAAAAATTTTAAACCGATCAATCCAGTAGTTTCAGTAAAGTCGTTCCGACTCTAAAAACAGCTTTCCAATACTCGTATACAAATACATATACAAAATTATTTATTTTTTGCTAAATACCCTCATATCTTCTAAATCGGATCAACTTTAAATTTCGAAAAATATTCTCAAAAATGTATATGTTTGATATAGGCACTCGCAAAACAATCGATTTTAAAAGTTTATAAAAACAGAGTTGGTTTTAATTAACATTGATATTGATTATTATATTGTTATTGGTACTGTAACACAACTTACTAATTACTAGTATTTTTATTGCTATATACGAGCTATATGTTGTTATTGTTATATCAATATAACTGCATTGAAAAATGCTTTTTAAATTCAGTTAAAATAGCAAATTTTGAATAAGCAGAGTTAAAGTAAACAACGACAGATTAAAAAATATATAAAATATCAATGAAGGTTTAGTAAAATTAACAATTATATTTTTAAAATTTTATTATAATAATTATTAATATTTTATTACATGTATAGCCAAATTTTACTCCTGCTTCTTCTTCTTTACTTTGAATACTCGTAGGAGCTTAGTTGTTGCAAGCTAAAACTGTTTTTTTAATTCTTAGTGTAAGCCTAGTGTTTTCCGTACAAAGCAAAAAAACCGAAACTCAAACCAAAGACGTGTCGTTAATACCTTGTGAATTGCGTTTTTATTTTACAGCACCGCCGCCTTAGTTATAGCCGACACGCAGTAGACGACAGAGATTTGTCTACGCAGGTAAGTCACCAAACAAAAGTAGAAGTTTAAACCAACCTCAAAATAAGACGAAATTTGACAAATCTCTGTAAATGTTAACTTGCACCACTTAATAACAAAAATCTATGTGCTGAATTGTATAAATTGTAAACAAAAATCCGAATACCCACTAATATCGTTCACAAGCGTTGCAACAAAATGCATTCATTTGGAAAATATCGCATAGCAATTTTCCCATATTAATATAAATTCACTTCTAATTAAAACACATTACAGGTAAATTACAAAATGCAAATGAACTTCCGACGAATGTTCAACGATCGGAAACATCACAAGCGCAGCAAACGCGGCACGAGCAAGGTATGGCGCTACTTTATACATTTCTAACTACTAATAAATATACTTACATATATACTTATATATTATATATGAGTATGCACACTTCTATGAAAATTTAAAATATGAGTATGACTAAAGTAGCGTTTTATTTGCAGCAACCAGACGGCGTTAAACAGAATCACGTCTCTTTCCACGACTTCCAACAGAATGGCACAACGAAACAATTTACGCATGGTACGAACAAAACGAAACATCAATTTCGCAAAATTCTAATCAGAAAACATAATCACAATTCACTTAACAAATATCGTAGATTAGAAATAGGTAAATGTGCCAAAAAGTAAATTAAATACAAAAAAATCCATTTTCAAGTGATTATAAACTTTAAAGGGTAGTGGAATTAAATTAGAACTCAGCTTTTGCTCTCCTTAAAGTGAGGGCATATTTCAAGTCAAAATAATAATATGGGTTAGGTTATGTTAAACTACTGGGCTTATGAGCCGCGCATTAATTAATTAATAAACGAGAAATGCACCGCGACCTTATGTCAATTGTGCCTTCTCCTAAATCACAAACCTCAGCATATTGATAAAGCCTAATAGACACCCATAGATAAAAATTATGTAAATATTAATGACTAAAAGTAGTATTTTATTAGAGAAAAAATATAATATATTCATAAGTTCTGTTGGAAATTTTATGAAAATTAAGAGCATTTTGCAAAGTAAACAACAATTTTTTTTTATAAAACGGATTTAGTTTCGCACGTTTTTAGCTTTGTATTTAGTTCAAACTAAAACCAATAATTCTACACTAGAATATAGCGCCAACATGCGAGGAAATTTAATCGGTTTTTCTGCTTCTTCTTTCTACTGCAACATCGCAAGGCCTCTTGTTTATAGGGCACAAGGAATTGAGGGGTAACATGGGTTTCGTTAAGCAAAAAAACAGCCTATTTTTATTATATATTTTTGTATGTAAAAATTAAATATTTTCTTCATTATAGAGTATGTATTTTTTCAAAGACAACTATTTTAGAAAGATTTTCTAAAAATTTCAAAGAAAACTTTACGACGTCAATTCCAGCTCAAAAAAAAAAATTAGAACTTCTTACAGTTTTTCAATTTTGAATAAAAGAAAAAACAAAAAAGTCAAAATAGTATTTTTGGTACAGAAAATGAAAATTTTGCTGAAAATTGCTCGACTTTTTTTAATAGTTGAAACTGAACCAAAAAGAAATACTTTGTTCAGAACCTTGTAAATTATATCTTGAATACCTGAAAACACAGTTTTGAGAAAAATGCGTTTTTTTAAGTATTGGGAAGCATCAAAAGCCGGAGTTTCAATCCGCTAAACCTAACCTACTGTCAACTCTAGACTCTCCCTCGGAACCACCTGATTAAGTATCACTTCGTGGGAGTGATAAGACAATTAAGTCTTCTCTATGGCACGAACTGACAGAGGCCTTTCTCTCTTTTCTTTTGGATCCTATAGACGGCTCTGATAACTGCACTGTGTTTATTAGATGATCCTTAAATTTGAGACTGGAGTCTATTATTACTCCCAGATACTTTAGTTGTGGCTGTGAATGAATATCACACAGCTCTATGGTGAGAGATATATTATAATTTCCTTCACTTTTCTAGTTCATATGAGCAAATCTTCCGTTCAGCCAGTTCTAAATTCATTGAGGAGAACCATTGGCGCAGACTCAATGCATTTGCTCAGGACATCTAGGTGTTTAGTCACTGCTACAACAATAAGGTCGTCTTCGTATGAAATTCATTTAATGGAGAAAAAGGATTTAGTGGCCCTATACATATGTAGTAGACCTTGAAGGTGCAACTTTTCAAAGCTATATCTCCAAAACTATCACTCGGATCAATATGAAAGATGTTGTAGAATTAAATAAAATAATAAAATATTTTTTGTTAAAGCCATGAAACCCATGTAACCCCTTAAGCAACAATTATTGCACGTCAATTGAGGCAACGCTTGTTATTTAAAGAATTTGACTGCACATAGCCTTCTTAAATTTACACACAACGTTTCAAAGTTACTAAAATTTGCCTTTGCTAAAGCCACTTTTTTTTTGTAAATTTTCTTTAGCTAGTATATAATTTGTATATACAAACGATTGAAAAAATTGTGACCCAAGAGTTTGCTCTTCCAATCATCTTACTTTAATTTTAACCATTGTAATTTCCACGCGCAATTTTCCCTACCCAGTTAATTTTTAAATATAGTTTCTCAAATAATTATTATATTATAAAAAAATTTAAACGAAAAATATTAATAACTTAGCATAATTGATTGGCATTTATCGAAAATTTCGTACTTCACTACATATTGGCGACATTTTCTCTCTCCTTATATTTGCTTTTCTTTTTGCTTGCACGCCTTTGCGGACCTATTGGATGCTCATTAACTATAATGCAAACACATATAAAATCATATACCATAATTTATAAATATTCTTGCATATATATAAAGATTATATTAACGATGTTCTCAATGAATCAGGAGAAGATAATCTGAGTAAACTGAACGAGGTGACTGTGGTTAGCGGCGAGGATTGGGATGACGGTTTGACATTTACGGCAAAGTCTTCGCGTAAGTACACACTCGCTTACATATGTATATACTATGCAATGAATGCATTTTTGTTTAGTAAAATTTTTGTTATACTACGAATCTTAAACTAAATTAGTTTTGTAAAATACATTTTATGATTTAATTTAAATAATGTATTTGCTAGCGTACGCGCATACACACGCACCAACTGGCTGTTGCAACGTTGGCATGCATTTGTTAGCGGTGTAAGCTGTTTGTGTGTGTGTGTGCGTTAGTAGCAATTTGTTGATCAAATTAATGTACCCTCTACTACTACTACTACAATAAACAGCATAAACGCTAATATTCTATTATACCTTTGTTCAACTTTTACCCAACATTAACGCTTATTGTTGCTCTTAATTTACAAAATTTTATCTACCAAGTTTCCTTATAGTTTGCTAAATTTTTAATTTAAATATTCAATTCCGTTCTTTAAGAGTTTGCTTAGTATAAGTAATAATGCGACTATCATTTTCCAAATTTTTCATCAGAAATTATATTTGCATATTATACGCATATGCCATGAAATTTGAAAAACACATATTTTTATATAATTGAAAAAAATAAATAAATAAAGAAAAATAATTACATAATACAATAGACAAAAAATAAGAATGAAATTACATAAATTTATAAAAAGCTGAAAGTTTGTAAATATTTTCAAAATAAGATAAAAAAACTTAATGGGTTAAATTTATTATCATTCGAAAGAATAGTCTTTAGCGTTTATTTTTTAAAGATTATCTCTTTCAAATGTTTGCCGCGGCTACATTTCAGATGGTCCATCCGTTGAGTCCAATTTTCGATGACTCGTTCGAGGATGACGGCTGGTAACTGGCAAGCGACCAGCGCTATGTTTTGCTCCAAGGCTTCAATCGAGGCGGCATTGTCCGCATAGACTTTATACCTTACATATCCTCACTGGAAAAAGTTTAACGGTGTTATATCGCACGATTTTGGTGGTCAATCGACCAGCTCAAAACGTGAAATTATCTGCTCACCAAAATGCTCTCTCAATAAATCCATTGATGGATGCGAGGTGTGGGAAGTGGCGTCGTCTTGTTTAAAAAAACCAAATGTCGCCGAGATCACGAGCTTCAATTTCAGGCTTAAAATAGTCGGTTATAATGGCGCGATGACGGCCGCCATTGAAGGTTACGTTCTCGCCGTCATCGTTTTTAAAGAGACATGGATCGATGATTCCACCGACCCACAAACCACACCAAACCGTTGTTTTTCTAGATGAAATGGCAGCTCTTAAATCGCTTCAGGTTCCTTTTTGTCCCAAATGTGGCAATTTTGCTTGTTAACATCCCTATTGAGCCAGAAATGGGCTTAAACAAAATTTTACTCGAAAACGTCGGATCTGCTTTGAACATTTCAAGAGCCCATAGAGCGATACGATGTCGCTGGGGAAGGTCGAACGGCTTCAGTTCCTGCACAATCTGTAGGCTTTCAACTTAAGATCTCGACGTAAAATGCTCCAAGTCGTTCCGAACGTCAGTCCGATTTCCTGTGTACTTCGCCCAATCGGCTTTCCAATCTCAGCTACGGCTGCTATATTTTCTGTTGATTATGTTGCCCATATGTTGACAGCTTGACACGCCTTACGGGTGATCAGTCAAAAAAAGGCTTTTGAAAAATTATCTTCATTCGGATCACCAGTTATTTTTGGATATAATTTACCGTTTTATTAAAGATAGCGAAACATTTTTTTGAACTTTTACCACATATTTTTTTTTATTTATCGGAATAATTAGAAGTTTTAGTATATTCCTTTTAATACATTTTTAAACAAATATACAAATTTTTAGCTTGTTCTAAATTCATGTAATCTAAATGTCTATTTTGATTAGATTTTATTATTTAATGAAACGAATCACAAAGAGTATGGCGTATCTACAATATGCATATACATATATATATTATATAATATATATTTTTATATATATTGATTTTTATTAGCCTTTTCTTTTACACAAAAATGCCACTTTCATTCGAACTCGCATATCGTTGATAGTATTACAGTTCGGAAATAATTTCAAACACCATAAATGCTATGAAGACTGTCTCTTATACACATCTAGATGTGTATAAGAGACAGTCGTTGATAGTATTACAGTTCGGAAATAATTTCAAACACCATAAATGCTATGAAGACTCCTGTCTCAGTTCTAATAGGCAATAGCTTGTAAGATACGACAACAAGAACACTTCACGAATAAAAGTTTTTTTTTAGTAAACATTAATAATAGTGTACTAATTAGTAACAAAAATTTAAGTTATAACCGGACCATTTCCAGATTTGGAGGCATAAAATTTATCAAATGCACAAAATAACGCTGTTTTTTTTTAATATTTGTACATAAACTGGAGACTAGTGCCAGGGTTGCAATATTATATATTAAAAAATATTTGAATTGTCCATTAAATTAATTTTTTTTTATTTTGTAATTTCGAAAATTTTAATTCAATATAATTTTAAAATCCCAAATAAAATACTCAAAATATTTCATCTTTATAATAAAAGTAAGAGAAAAGTTTTTTTGAATATCGTTTAGAACTTGAGCGCAAGCGCAGAGCCATACATGATTGATCAATACTTTAGAACAGATTTTTTAAAATTTTGAATTTCGCTCTTTTATATTTTTTGTTCTACCGTTTTGAACTTGAGTACCAGCGGAGCCATCATCTAGCAGAATTTTTAAAATTTTGAATTTTCCATAATTTGTCGCGGAAACATCATATTCAATACTCTATAGTTGTCGCCAAAATACACGTTCAAACGATCCTTAGTGTTTCAATGTATAATTATGATTTTGGGATTAAAAAATTAAAATTTTGAATTACAAATTTCGGATTAAAAATTTTTGATTTATAATTCGATTATGCGCTTTGTTCATAGCTGATTTTTCCTTTTAATATTCTGTCACATACATACATATATATTCACAATTAATTGTTATTGAACAGACACACATTTGTTCTTGATTCACATAATTGAAAAAAGTTGAGAAAATTTTTTTAAAAATTTAAACAATGTTTTTAAAAATTTACAAACAAAATTTGAAATTTTATAAAAAAATGAGAAAAAAAAGAAAAAAT